GAAATCAAATAATACTAATTTTCCATCACAGAATGCAACGATGAAATGCCTTGCCAAGGTCTTGGTGAGCATGCGCATTTTAGTAATTTTGGCATGGCCTTCTTAACGCTTTTCCGGGTCGCCACCGGTGACAACTGGAATGGTATCATGAAAGACACATTGAGGGATGATTGCGACGATGCGGCAGATTGTGTCAAGAATTGTTGCGTGAGCACTATTATCGCGCCAATATTTTTCGTGATTTTTGTTTTAATGGCGCAATTTGTACTGGTGAATGTCGTCGTTGCTGTGCTGATGAAACATTTGGAAGAAAGTCACAAACAGGTGACGGTTTCGGAAAATTTTTTTAACAGATTTGTTCTTTATTTTGACTATAAAAGTTTGAAATATGTACAATGTTATAATTTCAGATGGAAGACGAGCTCGATATGGAAACACAATTGGAGAGAGAATTAGCCGCGGAGCAGGAAGAGCTTCTTGAGATGGAGGAGGAGGAGGATGAAGATGACATAGCGATGAATGGTAGAATAGATGACGACGATGAAGACGACGAAGACAAAGAGCGCGTATCTATGGTGGGGAACGTAAAAATACCTGCGAGGCCAGGATTGGCCAAAGTTCAGTCCTTACCTGCAAATTTTATTTATAATCCACCAAGAGAGAGAAACATCGATGGTAAGAACATTACCGATTATTGTAATTGATATGCTGGTTACTGGCGTATCGATTATTGCAATGTTCCTTTCTTTATTATCACGTCTTTCGTTATAAAGTTAATCGATTGTTTTCCAGACACCTCGATTTCCGTGTCCTTGGACGAGAAACGTCGTAGTTCGTATTACCGTTCGAGTTCAAGACCGTCCAAGTTTAAGTCGAAACGCCGGCAAACCTTCCATTCGAGCCATCACCAACGAAGGTCACTGTTGCCAATGCATTTTGAAGTCGCCGAAGTCTTCGAGAAGCCTGTGAGCAACCTAAGCGTGCCTCGAATTATTCCGCATCGTAGTTACGGCGTCGCTAGTCAAGATACCAGTCACGTACAACGTCAAAAGTTGCAGGTAAAGAATCACATATTCCGATAATATGAATTTATATACCTACATATTTCGTAAACAAAAGACCATATAACTCGTCTCAAAGAATATAATTAAAATTTCTCATTCACACACCTGATGATCATTAAGTGAATTTCTCAAAATTATGAATCAAAGTTATCTTCGAAAAATTATACAGTATTTATATATTAAAATTCTCTCGGCAAAAGATTCGATATATTACCATTATCCATTATAATTTTTAATAGAAATATTTGAAAAAAAAAAACTAACATTTAAAATTGAAGTGACACATTGATATAACTGCACACATCAATTTTACAGGTAACCACCGGCGAAACGCGTGAAAACAAATCTCTGCTGAGTGTAAGTAGGCCACCGACTAGCTCTTCCCTGGTCACTCCCGCCGGCTCGAGCAGCACTCTGAGCGTTCCGCCGAAATTGACCAGCGATCGTTACCTCATGCCGACCACCGAAATCTACCCGTCCAAGGCGACGATGAGCCGTCGGACATCCAGCGACACGCAATCACCGTCGCAGTCGCCGGACAGCGCGAGTGCGAGCGCGGGCGCCGGCAGCAGTAGCACACGGACCCTTAGCATCGCGAACGGCTACGCTGGCGGCAAGATTCGATCGGAGGAACCGAGGTCGAAGGCGACGGCGGCGATCCAGGACGACCTCGATGTGCAATCCGTCATCAACGAGAGGAGGCCGTCCAAGTTGAAGACAACGCACGACGTCACCGCCGCGTCCGCCACCGCAAGCATCGCCAGCGATCAGTATAGCGCGATTATCCGCGGTGAGGGTTACAGCCACATCTACGTTACCACCGAGGATAGATCCGACGAGGTCCCGTCGCCGTGCGGCAACGTGAGCGAGAGCACCGGCACCGGCAGCCTCAGTGCCGTCGCCAGCATCAGCGTCGCCGGCAGCATCAGTAGCGGTAGCGGCAACGGCAGTCGAAATGGGGGTAGCGGCAGCGGCAGTCGAAATGGGGGCATCGGCGAGGGTGGCGCTATCGGATCCGACGTTAGGATTTACGTGGACGACACGGACTCGGCGAGCAGCAGCAACGGGCAGCGGCGCGGCGGCAGATTGACGCGCGACGACGAGACCCTGGATGCCTCGACCAGCGTCTCCTCCGCTACGACGATGAGAGACGGTGGTGGCGATGACCGCACCGACGATAACAAGGAGACATCCGAGAAACCGTCCTCCGCCGGTGGACCGTTGGATCCTTCTTAATGCAGAGCGAACGAGTCGAAGTAGTCTCTAGATGTATGTACTGTGGCGGCGCGGGAGATTTCGCAGACGATACAACATGGAGCGGAAAATACCATGGTAGAGAGAGATCGCGTGGGAAGGATTTGAGAAAGGGCTCTAAGAAAGACTGTAGTGCATGACAATATAGTCGTAATATTCTAGTCACTTCGCCGCCGCGAACTTGCCAAAAAATAAAAAAACGAACCAGTCGAGTATTTAGATAAATTGTGTCCTAGGACAGCTGGAGAAAGTATGAGAACGAAACATACCCCGCGAATCGTGTAAATAAGATACGATTGCGCGAATGAGAGATGATGTTGTAATCAGGGGAATTTATCGACGCGCGCGCGCGCGTAGCGCAGAAAACGGGTACGCTAAATGTAACACATGTAAAGCGCATATAACGCGCAACTTGAAAACTTATGACAATCTCTTATTGCCAACGGAACTGATCTCGTGTTCCGTTTTTGAAGTGTCGTGGAAATCGATCTGTAGGATTTGTAGGAAGAAGAACGACGTAGATCGCGTCGATAAAAATTAGAGAAAGAATTTTAGTAGTTTATAGCTAGAAGAGATCTTTTTGTCGTGTCTACGACAAAACTGCAATTAATTGGACCACACTGTCTCGCCTTTCCTTATTCTCTAACTCTTCTCGAATTCTCGCGCGGATAGGCAATTGGAAATCAAAGATATCTACAATTGATCGATATAAATTATATCTTTGTCATTTGAATGGTTAATATGATTAATTAATTAAATTTTGCATGACCATCATAATCAGAGATTTTGACGAGAATAATAAAATTTATGTAAATCTAGCTTTATTTCTCCATATATAATATATAGACCGTTTGATCTTTATGAAATAATTTCTTTTGGCTAGAATTTTAGAAGTTTGATCGATCAATTGTGGGAATTATTGATAATCGGCGTTCGAAACTCGCGATTTATCTTTATTTCGTTGAATTTACTCTTTTCGACTAGAGCATTCTTCTCGTTGACATCTGTGATATACTTTAATCGTAGTGTATTTCCTAATGGTAACGGCAAATATCAGTACGAAACCGTAACATCAGCAGCAACAACAGCAGTAATAACAACAACAACAACAACAACAACAACAACAACAACAACAACAACAACAACAACAACAACAACAACAACAACAACAACAACAACAACAACAACAACAACAACAACAACAACAACAACAACAACAACAACAACAACAACAACAACAACAACAACAACAACAACAACAACAACAACAACAACAACAACAACAACAACAACAACAACAACAACAACAACAACAACAACAACAACAACAACAACAACAACAACAACAACAACAACAACAACAACAACAACAACAACAACAACAACAACAACAACAACAACAACAACAACAACAACAACAACAACAACAACAACAACAACAACAACAACAACAACAACAACAACAACAACAACAACAACAACAACAACAACAACAACAACAACAACAACAACAACAACAACAACAACAACAACAACAACAACAACAACAACAACAACAACAACAACAACAACAACAACAACAACAACAACAACAACAACAACAACAACAACAACAACAACAACAACAACAACAACAACAACAACAACAACAACAACAGTGACAGCAAAAATTTAGGAACGTAGCTAACTTTTTAATAAAACGAAAATCAATGCTGTGTGGCTTTCGCGGGGAATTAAACTATAGAGAGACAAAGCAGAGATAAATAGAAACTCTATACTGTACATACATATACATCTACGAATATTCTATACTCTACACTTGGTGTGGTTTATTTTGATACTACCGCGTGCGGTAATATATTTAACAATTGTCGAAGTAAAAATCTAACAAGAAAAAAAAAGTAAAAGTAAACAACTCTATGCCTTTTACGAACGTTGACGAACCTTCGTGCGGTGGTGGTGCCCGCGTTTTCTCAGCTGCGAAATGGTGACCGACGAGTCCTGCACCCTTCGTCGGAGGTATAGTCGTTAAAATCACACGTTAACGCGCGCCCGGCGCGTCGCGTTGTTTCGAAGAAAAAAAAAATCAAGTAGTAATTGTTGACCGATCGATCGTTTGATCGTGATATTGTGTTTCGTTAAAGCCTAACAAAATCTTGAGTCGAGCGATGCGTCGAGTTTAAGTGCAATTTTTTCATACGTTGAAAGAACGTTACATTAACGCGTGATGATTTCACGGAGAGTTGCGCTTAACACTAGAACGGCTGAGAATTTTTCTAATTAGAAGAATTATTTCTTACAATGAATATAATGCGGAGAAAAATTATACTGTACGTAAGTAATAAATTAGCTCCATTATATCTCCTCCATTATTGTTTATATTGTCTATATTTTGCGAATAACACTATATTTCTATAGTTAATTATTTCTAGAGGTGGTGGTTTTCACACATCAACGTATTCAAATATCGTTATTTAATTAAATATTAAAACATATAATTCATAGAGAACTTTATATGAAATACTATTTTACTATTATATGACAGAAGAATAAGAAAATTGAGAAAATTGAAAATTTTACAAATAAAATTATAAATACTTTATATCTTTTTATTAAGAAAAGTATTTAGAGAGAGATTTAAATAATTGTCTTGGTCGTTCTAGTGATAAACCTCGGCTGGAGATGACGCAGCAAGTGCTAGTAGCAAGTTTAAAGAAAAGCAACGAGCCGCTCGAAATTGCTACGTCGGATCATGTTAGACGTTTTTCAGGGAAGTATGTAGAGAGATAATTACGTATTCGTGTGTGTTTACGTACATGTACGCGCATCTCTTTGGCACCACGACCAGCTCTCGATAGCTCGATAGCGTTAGACGACTGATCTCCGAATTATAGTTATTCTAGACACGCGCCGATCGCGCGAATTCGCCGATTACAGCTGCACACGTATTGATCGTCCGGCAATCATATGCTGTAAAAAAAAAAAAAGTCGCAAAAAGACAGAAACTCATCGGTTCAAAAAAACAAACCAAAAAAAAAAAAAAAAAAAAAAAAC